GAGGCGTTGTAGGTGTCTCTAGAGCAGGCGACGGAGAGATAATCACGCTCAGCCTCGACTGTAGGCGCATCGCAGCAAAACACCGTCAGAGCTTCCGCAACTCACCCTAACGTGCCAGTAGAGACTAGTTGCCATCGTTTCAGTGCTTCCGTACGGACGCCGGGAACTGGTTCGTCCGGAGCTCCGTCCCAACCAACCGGATACACTGACGACAAAGGAGACTACGACATGGACGAATACACGGAGAGTGGGACTGCTGAAACCAAACAGTCAGGATGGGACGACGATTTGACAACTGCTCTGCTAAGCATTGTCACCGCGGCAATGTTGACCGCAGCTTTGCGCCGGATGCCATCATCAACATGGAGATGTGGACTCACATCCATGCCATATGGATGCACAATTACGGCTCCCATCCCTTCACTTTAGACCAGATTAAAAATCGGGTTAAACAGGTGAAGCAATGGGTCCGAGACATCAAGTACCCGCGGAATCTTTTCCCCACGGGAGCTCACTGGGACCCCGTCACCGAGTTCTTCTCCCCCGACCCTGCGGTAAGCCTGTGAGAAGCGCAAATCTGTTGTTGCGACATGGAAATCAATGAATGACCTCCAATTGCTAGGGTTTGTGTGTGCGTGTGTAAGCTTCCTACGCGATACTCCCATTTTTGTTGCCCTACCCCCACCAAAAGGCGTTCCCCCTTGATGGCTCCCCCTTCATACCCCCCACCCTTCTGTCTTTCCCAAAACAACTGAATGTGTCACAGCGCGCACAGGGTATCGAGCGTTGGAGGAAGCTCAAACGGTGGCAGACCAACCGCACCCCCTGGCTTCCTCTGGCTGAGAAGATCGTGGCACGCTGCGGCGCACATGGCCGCTACGCGACCGCGGGCTTCAGACGCTCGAGGGTGTTCTCGGATGACCCGGGCGGGGGTGCAGGCGCCACGACATTGTCTGCGAGGGGGAGGTGCACGGCCTCATAGGAACAGGAAGCAGGAGATGCCAGAAACGCCCCTGGTCCAACGAGTGGAGAAAATGCCAGAATAATTGCAGGTACACCATCCTGCCCAGGGGCAGCATCGTCTGCCGGTGGGGGACAGCAGCGTGCCAATGGCAGTGGCAGGGGTGGTGTAAGGCGGGAGAGGGAAGAAGCAAGGGCAGAGGGAGAGATTAATGGACCTGCCAATCCAGCGACACCCTCCACGTCATCCTCATCTAGCGCTACGAAGTGCCGTCGTCGCAGTAAGAGTAGCAAGGTGGCGCAGCAAATGGAAGCCCTTGTGGCAGCCACCGAAAAAGGCTTCACCATCTGTGTCAAGGGTGAGTGGGGCTATGAGTGAGGGTTTGGAGTGGACAAGGGGCGGAGTGGGTGAGGGAGGGAGACGATCGTAAGACTGCTCGAGGAAAAATGTTCCTGAAAACTATTCTTCTGCTCAATATGCGACGTAACTGAATGGAATACCACCTGAAGTGTCGTGGATCGGGTAGAATGGCAAAACCTCTCAACATTCTGTTTACCACTCCCCCCTGTTTCCTTTCTTCCGATGTCCTTTCAGCAGCAAATCTTCATAATCTCTTTCAACGTCCCCCTCCACTGAACATCATTTTGTTCTCAAATCAGCGTCCCTGCCTGCTCTCCTGCTCCAACCATTTCTCGACCCCCAGCTGTTGCAAGCCTCGAAAATAGTGGGATAACAGCTGCTCAGCCTGCTGCCCATATTGCCTCTGATCCTGCTGCCCCTCCTATTGCCCCTCCTGCTGACCAGCCTGCTGCCAACCCTGCTGCCCAGGCTACAGTCCATCTTGTCACCATGGCTGCAGTCCATCCTGCCGCTCAGCCTGGCTGCCCCTCCCATCCTCACACCTCACCCATGACCATGCTGCTGCCCATCTTCCCACCACCCATCCTGCTCCCATCCTGATGCCCTCCATGCTGGCCATCCTTCACCCTTCTCTACCACCTATGTTGCTTCCATTCCAGCTTCTCTGCCACCCTATGTTGCTACCCGCTGCCTCCCCCTTTTCCCAGATGAGTACGGTGAAGTGACAAGAGCAGTCAATGCGGTGGAGGCGCTGCAAGGCGTGATGACAGCGCAGAGGGTTGCAGCGTGTGGCAAGTTCTACCCTGTGTAGGTGGCCGATTTCCTTCACATGGGTGACGACACTAAGCTCGCTTATGTGATTGGGACGGAGTGCAGCCGTACTGGGTCGGATGGAAACTAGGGGAGCATGTGGGGTGGGTAATGGCTGCATGGGGAGCGTGTGTAAGTGCGTGTGTGTGTGTGTGTATGTATGTGTGTATGTATGTGTGTATGCATGTGTGTGTGTGTGTGTATGTGTAGCGCAAACTGACTGGTTCGTGGAACCTTGAGAATAGGGTGTGCCGTATATAGCGCGCAAGGGGTGCGGGATGGTGTTTTACGTGGAGTGGAGTGTTATCATAAGCTCGATGTGTCTCAGCGTGAAACACTTTCCAGGGAGTGCCATCTGTGCCGGCCCACCTTGTGACGCTCTGTTCCAAGGCACGCAGGGCAGCTTCCCCCCCAATCTTGGGGGCCGGAGATGGGCATCAATCGCCTCCTGCCTTCTGACTCCACGCATACCCACCTCGGCCCTCAGGAATGCAGCATCGTTGAGGTTGAGGGCCCCTTCTACCACCCACACAACTGAGGTGTCGGTGGAGGGCAGTGTCCATGTTTCTCTGTCCTGGGCTGCATGTTTATGCTTTGACGGTTAATGGTGTGATTAGATGCAGGGCGGATGTCATTGAAACTCTTTCAGTTACTATTTCTACTGCTGCACAATTTTCAGTCACACACCAGAGGAATAGGCACTGCTAGGGTTCAGAAGGGTCTTGAACTAGGGCACACCAAACTCATCCCACAATGCATGCGCAATGCGATTGCGCCTGTCAGTGCCAATTTGGGCGGATTCGCGGACACTCGGTGCTGGTGTTTCCTCCACGGCACCATCATCCTCCTCCGTGCCGTCATGGGTGCCTCTTTGCTTCTCCGGTGGAGCTCCACCATTCATCTTGATGTGGTTGTGCAGAATGCAGCATGAGTGGATGAAACTGCGCTGGAGGGAGAACGACTATGGGTACATGACTCTGAGAATAGGAAACCTTGCCTTCAACTGCCCGAAAGCCTGCTCCACGTGGGACCTAAGAGAAGAATGCGCTCTGTTGAACATCTCCTCGGGGGTCTGTGGTTGGAATCCAAACTCCTCCCATTTGCGTATATGATACATGGTCGACCTAAACGGTGCAAGGAGGTGGCGGTCATTCCTGAATCTAGAGTCTGCTAGGAGGAACGCATTTCGGGGCAAAGTAAGCCCACGCTGTATGGCATCTTGGAACACGACAGAATCATGCGTGGAACCCCCCCAGCCTAGCAGCAAGTAGATGAATGTATCATCGAACCCTACTGCTGCCAAAACGTTTTGTGAATACAGGCAGGGATGAGGGTCTGAATCCTGAATACAGGCAGGGATGAGGGTTCCGTCTACCGCACCTATGGCTCCCGCAAAATGCTTGTACCAGGGGTTTCGGTCCAAATATCCCTGGTCGCAGTGCTGTGGCATCTGAATGTACTCGTCATATAGAGCGCAAATAGCCCATGCCACCTCCTGAATGATTACGCTTATTTTAGAACCCGTGCGCTCCCATATCTCCTGCAGCATGCGGTTTGTGGATGCATGGCCAATGAACTGAAGGTATGTCAACACCAGCTCCTCTGGTGAAACACTTATGCCGGGCGATATGAGCTCACGTGCCACGAGTATTCGTACTAGGCGTTCAACTAATGGTGGCTCCATACGCATGACCTCGTACGTGCGGCCGGGATGACCCTGTAAGAGATGCTTGGCGTACGTGTGACCACCTCGGAGTGTGTCATGCTTGGGCTGCCGGTCGTATCCTTGCGCGTACTTACACACGAGGCGTATCATGGTTGCACCCTACGCGCTTATGAGTAATTTTCCTTGAACTTCGCGAATAAATGCCCGTGTATCGCTTATCCTTTTACGGCAGCGCGTCATGTCACCTTTCCATATCGTTATCTGTAACGGTTCGAAGTTTTCGCCGTCCATTGCGCTGTCTACGAGGCGTTTATTCTCCTAGAGGTTTTGGACTCTGCCTATCGCAGATGTGATGTTGTCGATGGGCTGAATGAAGCTAAGTGATGAAACCCTAGTGGTTGGTGTTCGACGCTTTTTACCCTTTTGTTTTTTGTGTGGCCCGGGTAGTTGTTCATCCAGCGTTTTTATTTATATTGCTGCCCTTGTCGAAATCACTTGCGCGATTTCACCAAGTTGCCTACGCAGTTTCATGGTGTGGTTTGGGAAGGTCACAAGTGGACTGGATGGTTACCACTACATCGACATGACATTGGATACTTCCTGAACTCCACCTCCGACGCGTACTCCACTGCAGAACCCAGCTGATATCACATGCTATGGATGAAATAGCCGAGTAGCGCGGAGGGCAATGATGAAAAATTGTACGAGTGAATGGCAATAAAATGAGTGACGAGACAATTTTGGAACCTTAGGCTAATCCTGGTCGTAGGATGTGAGGGTTCATGAAGGGTATCGAAGGGCCTCAAAGTTTCGAAAAGGCCCAAAAGGCTCAGTTGGAAAGGTCTGGAACTGTGGCTGCGGTTTGGGGCTGTTCGAGTCGTACGCCTTGTAGCAAGCCTCAGTAAGAGATTACTAATTCCTTACATCGTGTACTCCAACTGCTTTTTCTAAGTAAATTTGGTGAATGTATACGGGTAGCTTTTATTTTCTCACGGCTCGGGCCAGCCGGCCCGTGCTACAGTATCGAACAGCGCGTCTCTGCTCGGAAAGTGGATGTGGATCTCGCAGAACACTCTCAAACCCTGATGGCCCTTGAGTAAAGAACACGCCCTCGCAGGCCATCACCCGAGCTGGGAAGGATCTCGTGCGCCTCGGATTCGAGTCCTCATGAAACCCTAATCCGGCGCTGCATCTCGACAGCTCGTGTGAAACAGAAATCTCACCAAGGGAATACTGCCTCCCACCAAGGAATCAGCAACCAACAAAGCCGCAACGCGAGAAGGTTGCAATCCTTCACGACAAGCCGGTGTGGCCTCAGCCGTCGCGAAACCATTTTCCGAGTTGGCAAGAAGTTTCTCCGTCCTGTCCGTGCGCCCGCCTCATTGTGTTATGACAGCCTGACTGCCCGGCAGCAACGGGCGCCATGCTCAAGGACAAGCGCGCCGCGTTCCTGCGGCAGCAGGAGCGCGTGCAGGCGCGGACCGTCGTCGACCATGCCGCCGCCACCGCCGCCCGACGCCAGACCACCCCTGCCGCTGCTGCCGCTGCTGCCGCTGCCTCAGCAAGCGCCGCTGCCGCAGGGGGCAGCGCGGCGGGCGACGTGGGGGGGAGCGCGAAGGGCATGGCGGTGGGGTTCCAGGGGCTGCAGGCGGAGAACTGGCTGGCGGACGCGGGGAAGTACGAGCAGGTGCTGCGCGTGCGGCAGCTGCCGCTGGGGCAGAAGATCAAGAAAGTCATTGACCTGCTCTTCCGGGTGGGTGCGACCTGCTCTTCCGGGTGGGTGCGCGATCGCCGCATGCCCGTGCTGTGGCGTGCGGTGCTGTGCATGACGGTGTTGTGAATGTGCATGTGAACGAGTGCGTGAGCGTGCATGTGCAGAGCAGCCTTGAGTGCGTGTGGGACGAGACTGTTAGACGGTTGTAATAGCAACCGGTGTTGCCCCAGGAGGGAGAGATGCGCTGACTGTGTGGGATGAAAGCAGCGCCATACGCCTTCCCATGGCGCGCATCGTCCTCTCTCTCCTGCACCACCTTCCGCTCGGCCAGGGAGGTTCTAACCCCCCTGGGAGCGCTTATGCCCCCCTGCTCCTTCCCTGCATGCGCCTGCAGGAACGGCAGGGGCTGACGGCAGAGCAGGTGGAGGCGGTGACGCTGGTGGACCTCACCACCAGCCGCGAGCTGCAGGCCAGCCTCAGGACCAACCCCAAGGTGGCGGTCGACGGCAACAAGTACATCTACAAGGTCACCCGCCCGCCCGCCCGCCTGCCCGCCTGCTGCAACCACGGCTGTGCTGCCGTACATCCTTGCTTTCTTATCCCCACCTTCCGGATTTTTTTCTGGCGCGCCACTCCACCACCTCCACCTGCGCGCCCATCCTGCCGTCTATCCACCCATCACTGTCCTCTACACTGCCCTTCTTCCAACCGGGCCCCCCATCCCCCCTCAACCCCCCCAGGCGAAGCACGATCTGGCAGGGCGCGACGACCTGCTGCGGCTGATCCGCGAGCACAAGGACGGCATCCCGCTGGGCGACGTGCGCGACTCGTACGGCGCCGTGCTGCAGCACGTGGCGGAGCTGCGGGCCGCGGGGCAGGCATGGGTGCTGTTCAACAGCGACAGTGGCGACGAGGTGCTGTTCCCCAACGACCCGCGCATCGCCATCCGCGTGGACCCCGACATCCGCGCGCTGTACCGCCGCATCGACATCCCGCGCGACCTCACGGACCTGGAGAAGGAGCTGCAGCGCTGCGGCCACCACCCCGCCATGCCCGCCGTGCGCCGCCTGCAGGCGCTGGAAGGAGCCATGACCGCCCAGGTGAGGGCAGGGGCAATAGCGCACAGGTGAGGGGAGGGGCAATAGAGCACAGGTGAGGGCAGGGGCAATAGAGCACAGGTGAGGGGAGGGGCAATGAGCGCTCATGTGAGAGGAGGGGCAATCAACGCTCAGGTGAGGGGAGGGGCAATCAGCGCTGAAGTGAGGGGAGGGGCAATGACCGCTCAGGTAAGGGGAGGGGCAATGAGCGCACAGACGGGAGACGAGGGGCCATGACAGCACAGTCGAGAGACGAGGGGAAGGAAACAGGGATGGGTGGAGAAGTGAAGAGTGGGGGGGGGAGGGGGGATGGGGGGGATGAGTGGACGAGGTTGGTTTTGAGCAGTGCCGGGCTAGGAAGGAATGGATGGGTCTGGTAATGCTTCTGTCATGGAGGTTGCCAGGGGTAGAAGCCAACTGTTGAGTCTTGAGGTGGAGCGAGGAGCATTGCGAAGTTGAAGACGGCTTGGAAGTCACCAATGGCACACGCCTTTCTTGGAAAATAAGAATTCCACATCCCACCCCTTACTTCTGCCCCTCCAGACGCAGAAGCCCAAGGTGAAGCGCAAGAGGGAGTCGAAGCGCACCAAGTACACCAACAATCATCTGCCAGAGCTGTTCGCCAATGCACCCATGTAATCACTCACTACATCTTCCCAAGAATTTTACCCACCCTTACATTTTAGAGGTGTTTAAGTGCGTCCAATCAGTAAGCAGCAAGGTTGGTGCGTAGTGCGACAACTATCAGTTGTGTTTTGTGTGGTTCCGCATCCATCTGTAAATATTAGTGAGGGGAAAGTATTTCAGCAGACGTGGGAGTTCATCGACTTGTGAGCCTTTCTTTTTGTTAGGTATTTATGGCATCAATATTGATATTTCACAAGTTGCTGTGAGATCACCTATCAAATAAGTGTCAAACATATTTGTATATTCTGAAAGCTTGCTTAGGTCCTCTTGAAAGGCAGCGTGCTTCATTTCATATGGGGGACATACATTGGTTCTCGTCCAATAAACTACTCAACACATAGCTAGGGTGGGTGGGCGGGGAAACTCAAATGAGTTGAACTAGAAATGAAGAACGTGGGTGAGGCCGAGAGGCCTCACGTTCCTCTTTTGAATGCAAAAGAGGGTTAGGTGCGCTTCGCCGCTGCCTTTGCTGCGTTGGCCCTTGCTACACTATCACAATACACATTTTTAGAAAGCGCTACACGCTTTCAAAAAATTACATATTGTGAAAGCTTGCTTAGGTCCTCTTGAAAGGCAGTGTGCTTCATTTCATATGGGTCTTCTGAGGCATGTGGAGGACGGGTCGGCGTTGCCGCTCGATGGACAGCTGGTGGTTGTTGGGCGATGGGGCTGCGGATGGATCTTGAAGCTGCGTGGAGGCTGCAAGAAGGTGGTCTTACGCGATAGTGACGTATAGCTCCTTCGCACTGTCGCTGCGCCATCGGCCTAGACGCTTGAAAAGCATGTCAGGTATCCCCAGGCTGAGGCTTAGGCTTCCAGACACCAATTCTGAATGGTTGTGTATGAAGGTGCGGCGTCCCGTGGGGTGGCCTTGCCTCTGGTCGCGAAGACGCAAATCAGAGGCCCGTGTGGGGTGGCGGTGTGGCCTGCAAGGTGAATGAAACGCCGCGTGCAGCTGAAGGGCAATAGGGTGTGGTTGTGGCGGCAATGGGGACCCAGGTGCCTTTGCCTTCCTGATCCGTCTTGGAGTGTGGGATCAGGACCCACATTGCCTTGTCCTCAAACTGTATGTCATTCCACTGGATGCTGACGAGGTCCGAGTAGCGTAGGAATGCTGCGAACATGAGCAGCGGGATGAGACCCTTCTGGTATGTGGCTGGGTTAGTTGATTCGAGGAAGGGACGGGCCATAGTATGGACTTGGTGGAGCGACAAGGGTTCCTTATTCCTTGTGGGGCGTGCCCCATGGCGCTTGGCAAATTCGCATACCTGTACCGTGAAAGGGCCGTTCGTGGGGGAGGGTTCGCCAGTCATCCGGTGTGCGAAAGAGATGGCAGAGCATGTGAGGGATATGGCAGAGGCGGTTGCTTGGTGATTGAGCGCGTGAACAAGATAGAGAGCCAGGGTCGTGTCCGTGGCTGGCAGATAGCCGAGCTTGAATTTCGCGCAGAATGAGCGAAATTTCTGCCAGTACGGGTCATAGGTCTTGATAGTGGAGGGCGCCCGGACGTGGGTGGTTATGCGCAGTAATTGTGTCTTTTACTTCGACAGCATGCCTGAAAATATACACCATACATGGAGGAGTTATATCTTGTAGGTTACATGCAAGGCAATCATCTGGCTATGAGGCAGGCCTTGGTCGGCGAAAGCGAGCGAGTGTGTGCCAGGGCGGAGACATTGGGTGCCATGGGTGAGTGGGATATGGGCTACTATCTCCGGCGCCCACACACGGGGTGCTAGCTGGAGGAGTGGCCACCATGATGCGCCGGGCCATTCGGGGATGACCAATGTTAGTTCAGCGCGTGTGCGTTGGGCGTGTCGCAGGGTGGCTGGAATGAGGTGGGGCGGGGGAAATGCGAAGCCGTACTCGTGCTGCCAATTGAGTGAGAAAGCGTCAATCGCTGTTGCCTCAGGATGGGGGATCTTGGAACAGAAACGCTGCAGCTGGGCATTGCGTACGTTGGCAAAAAGATCGATGGAGTGAGGTCCAAGTCGACGATCCAAGAGCTGGAACCAAGGGGTTTGAAGAGAGTAGCCGTCGTAGTCTTGGACTTTCGACAGCGAGTCGTGTCCAGTTTTCCAAGCACAGTCTGATGATCGCTTGACATAGCAGCGTGAGTGAGGGGTGGCGTGATCCGCCCTTACGAAGGATGAACACCACCCCTTGGTTGTCGACGCGAACGAGCACGTGACGCTTGACGAGGTGGGTGGTGAATGTCCGGAGTGCCCAAAGGACGCCTTCGAGTTCCCTTCGAGTGCTGGAGGTGGGCATGAGCTCTTTTGGCATGCGATCGCTGGCCTCGATGTGCGTGCCAGGCAGTTGAGTGAGGGTGGCACCCCAGCTGTGGGCACTTGCATCAACGTGGATGACAGCGTCGTATTGGTGACTGAGATGGAATGGGGCGCCGTTGAATTGGTCGAAGTGCGAACGCCAGAAGCGTAGCTCTGTTAATGCGGGCGGAGGTAGTTTGACTTTGTCATGCCAAGACGTGGCGTCGGCGATGAGTTGCAGGAGCTCATGACTGAAGGCTCGTGCTGTGGCGCCCAATGCTAGGGTCATGGAGGCCAGCATGCCAGTGACTCGCGCAAGGGAGCGGATGGGGACTCGTCGTCCTGCTTGGCCCTAGGCGATGATGTCGGTGAGTGTGGCTAGGAGCTGAGCTCGTCGTTCGTGACCGATAGAGAATTTGCCGCGAACTGCGTCGACCTCCAGGC